AAACACAAGGAAAATAGGCTACATGACAAAGAGTGCAGGAGAAAGGCAACAAGTGGTGTATGCAGAGGGCAGAAGCATAGCTAGACAGTGGGGAAAGAAAAAGGGAAGAAAAATTACTGGCTTGGATAGGCTCTGCACTGTGTGTTTGTGGGGACCAAATACTGCAAAGTGCCTAATCACTGTGGTGAAAACGAAAAAATACTGTCCATTTTAGTCCCAAATTATGAGCTGTGATTACCATCTCCTAGGAAGAAGCTGGCACAGCGGTTGCAGGATGCAGAGGAACACGTCGAAGCTGTGAATGCCAAATGTGCCTCCCTGGAAAAGACAAAGCAGAGGCTGCAGAATGAAGTGGAGGACTTGATGATTGACGTGGAGAGATCCAACGCTGCCTGCGCAGCTCTGGATAAGAAGCAGAAGAACTTTGACAAGGTCTTTTGGGCTCTTCATGGGGGGTTCCTGGACAGAGCATGCCCTCCTGATTGCCACATCCATACTCACACTACATTTCTCTTCAGATCCTGGCGGAGTGGAAGCAGAAGTATGAGGAAACGCAGGCTGAGCTGGAAGCCTCCCAGAAGGAGTCTCGCTCTCTCAGCACGGAGCTGTTTAAGATGAAGAATGCGTATGAGGAGTCCTTGGACCACCTGGAAACGCTGAAGCGTGAGAACAAGAACTTGCAGCGTAAGTCCCTGGCCCTCTGCTCCTGGCAGGGCTTTCTCACTACCCACCGCTCCACGTGGCTCTGTGCCTGCAGGTCTGCAAAGATGCCTGTCACCTTGGTGTGACAGGGCCCTTCCCATGTGGCTCTGTGCCTGACCATGCTGCTGGTCTTTGTTCCCACAGAGGAGATTGCTGACCTGACGGAGCAGATTGCTGAGGGAGGAAAGGCGATTCATGAGCTGGAGAAAGTGAAGAAGCAGATTGAGCAGGAGAAATCTGAAATCCAAGCCTCCCTGGAGGAAGCTGAGGTACAGGCAGTGCTAATGGTGTCCAGACTGAAAGTATGGGAGTAGTTACCTGCAGAGGTGTCAGGAAAGCAAACCTAGCTTTCATGAAATACCACATGAGAGATGGTGTAGAAAGGAAGCAGTAGTTTATTTCAGGCCTCCCTTGAACATGAAGAGGGCAAGATCCTGCGCCTCCAACTTGAGCTCAACCAGGTGAAGTCTGAGATTGACAGGAAGATAGCAGAGAAAGATGAGGAGATCGACCAGATGAAGAGAAACCACCTCAGAATTGTGGAGTCCATGCAGAGCACCCTGGATGCTGAGATCAGGAGCAGGAACGAAGCCCTGCGGCTGAAGAAGAAGATGGAGGGAGACCTGAATGAAATGGAGATTCAGCTGAGCCATGCCAACCGTGTGGCTGCAGAGGCACAGAAGAACCTGAGAAACACACAGGCGGTGCTCAAGGTCTGTTCAGCAAAGCTAGAGAAAGAGAAAAGACTTCCCTGATATTTTTGGCACCCAAGCACACACCACCAGCTTGTAATTTCTCTTGTGTCTTTTACAGGACACCCAGATACACTTGGACGATGCTCTGAGGACACAGGAGGACCTGAAAGAGCAAGTGGCCATGGTGGAGCGCAGAGCAAACCTGTTGCAGGCTGAAGTGGAGGAGCTACGGGCAGCCCTGGAGCAGACAGAGCGGTCGAGGAAATTGGCTGAGCAGGAGCTTCTGGATGCCACTGAACGTGTGCAGCTCCTCCATACCCAGGTCAGGCACTCTGCTGGAAATTAATCCCATCAACAAGGGATAACACAGGATGACATTGCTATGCATCTTGTAAGTGATTACCATGTATGTAAAGACTTGATGAGCCACACTGAGGTATGGCCAGTCCAGCCAGACACCCGTGTCTGGTTTACTGCCAGGGCTCTAAAGAGGCATTAGACATGTTCATAAACAATACTCACACTTTCAACTCTTGATGTGAAGGCATTAGGTCTAACAGAACAAATCATGTCTTTCCTGTTACACAGAACACCAGCTTAATCAACACCAAGAAGAAGCTAGAAACAGACATCATGCAAGTTCAGAGTGAAATGGAGGATACGATCCAGGAAGCTCGCAATGCTGAAGAAAAGGCCAAGAAGGCCATCACAGATGTGAGTCGGAGGCTCCTTTCAGTGCTTAAGAGAAGTTCCTTCTCCCCAGACTGTCTCTAGCCCCAAAATGTCTTTGACCTTTTGCTCTGCTCAGGCAGCCATGATGGCAGAAGAGCTGAAGAAGGAGCAGGACACCAGCGCCCACCTGGAGAGGATGAAGAAGAACCTGGACCAGACGGTGAAGGACCTGCAGCACCGTCTGGATGAGGCCGAGCAGCTGGCACTGAAGGGAGGCAAGAAGCAAATCCAGAAGCTGGAGGCCAGAGTGCGTAGGGCTTTTATTTGTGCCTGGGTGAACATGTCATGTAAGCAGCCAGCAGGGAAGCTCGAAAGATGGGCTTGTCATTGCAGGTGCGGGAGCTGGAAGGGGAGGTTGATGCTGAGTGAGCAGAAGCGCAGCGCTGAAGCCGTGAAGGGTGTGCGCAAGTACGAGCGGAGGGTGAAGGAGCTGACCTACCAAGTAAGGCAGGGGGCCTCCTCGGCCTCACACACTCTCATCTCAGGAAGCCAAAGTTTTTTACAGCACTTCAAGGGGAATGTTATTTTGTGGTGTGGAGAAACCAATAATTCATTCTCTTCCCTGTTTGCCAACCTCTTTAGTCTGAGGAAGACCGGAAGAATATTCTCAGGCTGCAGGATCTGGTGGACAAGCTGCAAATGAAGGTGAAATCCTACAAGAGACAGGCTGAGGAGGCTGTAAGTATTGCTTGGAGAATAGGCAAGCATTTCTTTGTGTGGGTGTCACAGAGATGCTGAGGAGATGAATATCAAAAATTTGGAAAATGCCAGTAATCAACAATTGAGGGTTTTAGGGTCTGTGTCATCCCGATAAACCCCCCTGATACCCGAGTACCAAACAAGTTGGAGAATAATTGCACAAATGACAAATGCAAGTGACAATATTGCTCCTCAAGAGTGACACAGCACTGGTGAAGCTTGTCACAGTGGGCTCCTGAATAAAGGACGATGAGGAGGTCTGTGTGAGGCTTATGTGTACGCAGTGGTGGGTGTGGGATGGAGGTCAGGGCCTTCCTCCAGGGAACAGCCACAGCCCCGCAAGGCAGAGATGCAAGAGGAATGAAACCCCTGCCCTGGGCTCCTTACCACCGACTCCCTTTTCCCGCACAGGAGGAGCTGTCCAATGTCAACCTCTCCAAGTTCCGCAAGATCCAGCACGAGCTGGAGGAAGCCGAGGAGCGGGCTGACATTGCGGAGTCGCAGGTCAACAAGCTCCGAGTGAAGAGCCGAGAGTTTCACAGCAAGAAGATAGAAGAAGAAGAGTGAGGATGTCGTGAGGCAGCAAAGTGACCTGAAGGAAGCACAAAATGTGAACCTTTCGGTCATTTCATTCTGTAATTAGTCTTTGTAAGCATGTCAATATCTAGAGAATAAAGAATGTAGACTTCTTCGCATACACACTATGAGCCCATGTTATCATTTTTTTCTCTTTTTACTGGTTAGGGCTCTATAATCATTAGCCTTTGGGCACAGTTTTGAGTTATAACTTTTGTGTACCTCTGCCAGGGTACATCTTTTTGTCATCTAGCTCCTAATTTTGTATCCCTTCTTTATTACTTATTCACTGGCGCATGAATAGAAATTTAACTTCACATGAAGAGAAATCAGGGACAATAACTGCTGACAGTGACTCCTGCCATTCAGCCTTCATACTGTTCTGTCCTAAACAACCTCTTATGTTGTATTTACCTATGCAACACCTTAGTACTTCCTGGTTGTGCAGCATATCAGGTGTGAGCTGATCCTTTTGCTGCCCATGTTGAGGAATGATAAGCAACAGAATTTATGTTTTTTTAGGAAGCTAACAGGTGGTCATCTTTACTCTCCTCTATGTTTGCTTCATGAATTTAATTAAATAGGGGGACCATCCCCTTAGAATAAAACTGGACAATGCTTGTGACAGTTCTGTGAAGATTCCTTTAATTCCCGTAAATCAGACCAGCGTCTGCAAAAGCGAAGTCTCTGGCACACTAACCTCTGAAACACTACCCTTCCTGGGAGAATCTTTCTTTCCTGATGTGGGAGCCCAGCTGTTCTATGCGGTGCTTTCCTTAGTGGTGTTGTAGAAACCCGAGGCCTCAGCCAGGAGCTTTTCTCACTAGCCTATGGCAAGGGAGGTCAGAGCAGACAGTGAGCAGAGAAGAAGCAGCTGCAAGTCGCCCATCAGTGGAAGGGAAACATAGCAGTGTTCATTAGCAGCTGGTATTACAGTACATTTGAAAACACAAAACTACATATGTGGGGGAACACAATGCAGTGTCACATATAAAAAGACTGACTCTGAGCCAACAATTACCCATGAGGAGCAAGCTCTTCCACATGTGCTGCATAACTATCTGAAAATATCTACTCATTTCTCAGCACTGGTAGCAAAACAGAAAATAAAAAGAGACAAACTGACTTTGCAAACAATTATGATTCCACAGGGAATAAAGATGATGAGACACATGGAGGTGCTTCCATAGGATGACCAATTAAACAAACCCAGAGACTTAAGATAGGAAAGCAGAGAACTGAGTGGGCATACAAAGCAGAACTATAAAATCAGCACAGTGTGGAGAGGCTTGACAGAGGCTGATGTTACAGAATCATAGAATCATAGAATGGTTTGGGTTGGAAAGGACTTTATAGACCATCGAGTTCCAATCACCCTGCCACGGGCAGGGACACCTTCCACCAGACCAGTTGCTTAAAGTCCATCCAGCCTGGCCTTGAACACTTCCAGGGAGGGGGCATCCACAACTGCTCTGGGTAACCTCTTCCAGTGCCTCACAACCCTCATAGAAAAGAATTTCTTCCTTTAGTCTAAACCTAAACTCCGGCTTTCTTCTAGGCCCCTTCAGGTACTGGAAGGCTGCTTTAAGGTCTCCCCAGAGCCTTCTCTTCTACAGGCTGCACAGCCCCAACTGTCTCAGCCTTTCCTCACAGCAGAGGTGTTCCAGTCCTCTGATCATTTTTGTGGCCCTCCTCTGGACCAGCTCCAACAGGTCCATGTCCTTCCTGTGCTGAGAGCTCCAGAGCTGCACACAGGACTCCAGGGTGGGTCTCACCAGAGCAGAGCAGAGTAGAGGGGCATAATCACCTCCGTCACCCTGCTGCCTGCACTGCTGGGGATGCAGCCCAGGAGACAGCTGGCCTTCTGGGCTGCAAGCACACACTGCCGGGTCATGTTGAGTTTGTCATTGACCAGCACCCCCAAGTCCTTCTCCTCAGAGCTGCTCTCAATCCACCCTCCGCCTAGCCTGCATTTGTGCTTGGGATTGCCCCAACCCATGTGCAGGACCTTGAACTTGGCCTTCTTGAACTTCATGAGATTCGCACAGGCCCACTTCTCAAGCCTGTCCAGGTCCCTCTGGACGGCCTCTCTTCCCTCCAGCCTGTTGACCAGGCCATGCAGCCTGGTGTCATCAGCAAACTTGCTGAGGGTGCACTCAATCCCACTGTCTATGTTGCTGACAAAGATGTTAAACAGCACCGATCCCAGAACTGACCCCTGAGGAACACCACTCCTCACTGGTGTCTACTTGGACATCAAGCCATGGACCGCAATTCTTTGAGTGCAAACATCCAGCCAATTCCTTATCTACTGAGTGGTCCATCCATCAAACCCCTGTCTCTCCAGTTTAGAGACAAGGATGTCATGTGGGACAGTGTCAAATGCTTTGCTCAAGTCCAGGTAGATGACATCTGTTGCTCTTCCCTTATCCACCATGTTCTAACAGGCTCTGGCATTAAAAGAAACGGGAGAGTGCAGAGGGCAGAAAGAGGAGGAAGATGTGTATGTGTGTGTGTGTGTTTATGAGAGTATGTGTGTGAACTAAATGAAACTAGGCAAGATATTCAAAACCACAATGAGATGTGGGTTCTTTACAAAGTATACAGTTAAGCTGTGGAACTCCTTGTCACTAAAAACTAAAGGATTACATGGACTGAAAAGAGACTTGGACATGTTCATGGAGAGAACATCTAATGGAAGTAACTACAGAGAAACCCCATCCTTGGTGCAAAAGCTCACAGCTGTACAGAAAGACAGAGGCTCAGAGAGAACTTGAGAGTATCAGCTGTTGTCATCTGGGAGAAAGGAGGCATAGTCCCCTCCAAATCCATTTCGTGGGTAGAAAATGAGGCAGCCAGTCATAACACACACACACCAAAAGATGTACACCTAGGACACACAGGTACGAACACATAGTTGTTGAATCACACTGTTTTTATGCAAGAGATGTTTGGATAGCCACAGTGACGCACTACTGAACCTCCCTAGGAAAACTGGGAAAAATGCAATCCAACACACAGCAAGGCTTTGGAATCGGAGCCCAAAGAGGTAAAGTCCAAACCTAGCTAACTTGTGAGGCCAAGACCAGTATGGGGTCATGTGATGACTCTGCTCTGAGACCCTACAAGTCACCCTGCAAGATACTGGCTAACTGGAGGCACTTCTCAGGGAGCTGAAGAGACTGAACTGGAAGGAAGGCAATACATACCTGTGCTGGCTGGCAAGGCAGTGACCAAGTGAAGTGGCCACTGCAGCTTGACCTGGAGAGGATAAGAGACACATTTTACCTGTTTAGAGCTCAAACTATGTCCCCGTCTCTTGGGCTGAACTCAGACCTTGCCAAGTACAAGCCTCACAGAGAGAAAGGTGTGTCCCCAGAAGACTTTAGTGGGGTGAGCAGGGAATCTCCCTGGGGCAGCGGACGCCAGCACTGTTAGGGCACCCTGACACTATGGCTACTGGTTATCTGGTGGCACAATGCCAACATTGCTTCATTTCTGACCCGTTTCCTTCCCTCTTCTTATCCAAGAGGCGTGTTCCCCTCCTCACCTGCCCTGCAGCAGCAGCACTGCAATTGCTTTGACGGGTGAGGGCAAGGGCATTCGGAAGGTCACCTTCTCAGCTGAGACCCACTGTCCAGCAGCGATTGCTTCCAGAGGCCTTAGCTGCGAACATGAGAGGCGTCTGAGTAACTGATGCAAGCGCATCCCAACTTCAAATGACAGGTCTGTCCTAACAGCCACTCTACTTACCTTTCCAGCTAGACAGTCTGTCCTTCTCCACTGAGATGCTCAGTCTTCTTCAGGCTGCAGGAAGCCATGGAAGAATGCTATCACTGGAAAGAGAAGACACAAGCAATAGCAGAAGCTGTGGACCAAACTCCCTAAAGGAAAGATGCATTCAATTTCCTTTTTCCTGTTGTGAGGTCAGGGGAGACCTGAAGCAATTGGTCGCTGAGTGGAGAAGCAGCGTGAGGAGATGGCAAAAGGCCATCCCGGTTTCTTCACAGCTATCCTGAGAAAGGATACGTCTTAACCAGACAACCCACAAACACCCACATGGACTAGACATGGTATGCTAGGCGTGGAGAAAGAACTCCTCATATTTAATTCCACATGGCTCAATGCCCACCAGCAGAATAAACAGGCTTCTTCTAGACAAAAGTGTGTTCGTACCATATGCAGGCTCCAGCACTCAGCCATGTCTTAGCAGAAGGGCAGGGAAGAAGAGTTTTCCTCCAAAGGATTAGGGTGCCGGCATTTCTGTTCAGCTTGGGCTAGCATTCCTGAGAGTTCTCCTTTTACACACAGGACTGCTGTCTGAAGAATGAGTGCTGAAGTGGAGCCTAGGCATTCCCTGTCACACTGCCCATCGGGTCTGGTGACGTCTCTCCCAGCATGCCGAACAAATAATTGCAGCATAACCGACAACGCCATTTGAAAGCTGCGCTTCTTACAGCGGATGTTTTCAAACATGCTTTGCCTCTGCTCATGCTGGAAATGCTTTTGCTTCGCCTCTAAGCACCTTGGGTTCAGTGCTGAACAAATGCAATTGCTACCCGTTACTGAATGGAGGTTTATGATGTCTTTGGTTTTTCACATAGGAAGTGCCATACAACATCACCCACGAGAGACATCATCCCATTAACCCTGTGAGGAGGAAATCCACTTTGTGAAACAAACTG